GATTCCAACCTCATCAACAAGTTGCTGTGTCGGCCGTGTTAGTTCGGGCGCGTTTGGAGGGCCGAGATGAAGAAGGCTGCTGAGAAGGAAGGGCCACTACGGCAGGCTGCGCCTCGATGGATGGCTGTACTTCGCCTCTGGTTGTTGAAGTTAGAAGGGCCCTGACTCTGCTCTTCTTTGCCATTTCTTCCTCAGCTGTCAATGGAACAAGTCTTATCTCGGGCAAGTTGGGTCCGGTTCCGGTGCTTCCTCAAGAAGAAAATCGGTTACCTTTGCTTTTCGGCGACTGCTATACCGGTAGGTCGGCTCAAAATTCAGTAGCTTAGCCCAACTCCCTCTTGGCACCGTAGTGCGGCTCGCAAAATTGCAAGGTTGGGATAACTGTATAGAGAACGGAGGTGGGCAAAATCTGCAAAAAAAGATAAGTGTTAGTTCAGTCAATGGACTGAAGAACCGAAATAAAATGCAAGGAAGAAGACCGAAGTAAATTACCAGGCTCTTCCATTTTCCAATTTATAGGGCGGCCAGGAATTTGAGCTTGGAAATCCTCAAAGTTCCCAGAGACCCAAAAGAAATCATCATCATTAAGATCTTTGTCCGGAGTGTGTTTAATTATCTTCTCTCGGCGGCGGCGAATTCTAAGGTAATAGACCCACCCAGCATTCTTTGAGCCAATAGAGTATTGATGAAAGAATCTCGGCCAGACCAAGATTTAGTCCGGTTTGGTGGTTTAATGCGGCTATTCCCATTATAATACGATATGTATTGGTGGACAGTTGGGTGGGGCACAACCTAGTCTGTCTAAGAAATTCGCAGATTAGCGGGTTGATAGGAAACCGTAGTCCGGTTTCTATTATGGATTGAAGGGTAAAAGGGACGAAGCCTTCATTGTCCCAGGAGTAGCATCTTTCTTGGCCCAACACCAGTTGGACATCATCAGGAATCTGGTAACTTGCCTAAATTCGGCCATGCCACCAGGGTTTCGACTAAATACTATACTTACCCATTTGTTGTATAATTTATGAATAAATTATTTCGGTACAAAAATTTGGCTCAGTAGCTCGGTTGAGCACACGCAGGAGTGCCTGGGCAACCTAAGTCTGCAAAGTAGAAAACAAAGGGTTAAGCACAGATCGTGGACCGGCCTACAAATTATAAGCAAGATTTAACAAATCCTACTTCGGCTTAGTAGACTGGTTCTACCCCGGTTCATCAGAAGGTTGTTAGCTCGGTTTTGAGCAGATTAGACCGGTTTATCGTCTAGGGGCAGCTTTCCAAGTTCGGTCTAAAAAACTAAGAAAGCTGGTTTAGCCCCAAGGCCTAAATCGGTTGTGTGTGTGAAGAAAGTTACTTCGGTCAAGCCCCTAGGGGCGGCTTTCTAGTTCGGTTTAGGCACTAGAAAGCCGGCTTGGCCCCGAAGGATTAGCTCGGTTATAGACCGAAGTACCTAGTTCGGTATGTGCACGTTTGTTCGGTGATCTTATCTTGGCTAGAGTGGTTGAGAAGAAACTACTGATATTCCTACAAGTTCTAGTTCGGTTATTGGCTGAAGTGGATCTACCAATATTAGACAAACAGTATCCTAGTCCGGTTGCTATATGATTTTGGATTTAAGACAGGTTTCTACATAATAGTTCATACATACATGGGGTTTCTACTGGTTTCTTCATAAAAAGTACGAATGCAGAGCAGATAAGTGGAGAAAAATGTTTGCAAAAAACATACAAAGCATGGAAAGTAAAGTACGAAAACATAGAAAGCAAGATGGTTAGATTTTCTTACCAGAAAAGAGAGAAAGAAGACTGGAGTCGGAAACGGTGGCAGCAAGAGCACAAGCTTGAGTATGGAGTAGAGGCACGGAAAGAAGATGAAGACAGAGAGAGAAGGTAGATGCAGGTGAATGATTCAGAAGTAGAAAGGTTGTTTTGTGAAAGAAGGGAGAGAAAAAGGCGGCAAAAAGTGGCGGGAATTGTCCAAATTTTTTGCAGGCGCATAACAGTTGGCCACGGCTTATTCAGAGCCTGCCACGTGTCACTAGAATGGGAAGCGTTACAGACGCTATGATTGATCTGAGAGACGTTTTTGTACCGGACAAAACAGAGCCGAAGTAAATTTAGCTCGGCTTAAACTTCGACAGTTTTAGCAGGCTGGAGAGGCTGAAGTATTTGTTAGTTCGGCTGGAAATTGCTTGAACAGCGCCAGCTCGGCTTGTGGATGGTAATCAATCAATGACTATGCAGATGGAATTAATGGGCAATTGTGAGAGTAATTTTTGGGAAAAAATGGGCCGAGCTGCGAAGTTGTTTGGCGTTTGAGACCCAAAACGCGAAGGTCTAAGTAAGAAGGCCGCAAGGGAACTCCGGCCCAGGAGAGCAAAGTTACTCCGGCCCAGAGAAGCGTAGTTACTCGGCTGGGAGAAGTAAATGTTACTTTCGGCTCAGGGGCATGTAAGATACTTCCGGTCCGAGGTGTCTTCGTAATAAACCCGATCTCTCGAGATAGCCGTGTGTATAAGTGTTCCGGTAAAATGATTGGTCGGAATGTTTTTACTTGGAAGAGCGGTCAAAGTGCCACCACAGGTTTGTGTATGGGAGAACCAATATATGCTGTAGCAAGAAGAGCCGAACTTACGGTTAGTAATGGCGCTATCTACCGGTTCGGCATAGCCAATGTTATTTCGATCATGAGTAGTTGGGCCGAAAAGAAAATCCATCCCACGTTTTTAAGCAGTGGGGGGGTTAAAAGGATAAGCATTATCCTTGAGAGATGAATCCTAGAGGAAACTCTGGCATGTCAAGAAATACAAGTCCTACGTTAGGATTAGTGCCACGGGAAACTTATAAGGCTCACAAGCATCACTTGGAGGAGGTAATTGAACACACCCTTTTTGAAGAACATAAACTTTGTCTATTTGTCAAGGCTTACTGAACTTGGCCATCGGAGAAGGTTTCCGGGCAACAACTCCGGCCGGCTAGCCTCACGTTTGTATTTTCAGGTGATTAAAGCCGACGTCGTACGAGGAGGCAGGACTTGGTCAACGAGGATTATAGAGGAGAATTATTTCTCCCGTACAGTCTTAGTAGATATACACAAACATTAAATAAAAAATTAAATTATATTTATACCAAATTCAAATTCTAATCAAACTAAGATAAAAATATGAAAAGTTTCAAATTTTCATTGTGAACAAAAAACATTTAATTTAAATTAAAGCTAAAAATATTTAAAATTTGTTGAAGATTATCTTTAGGAAAATGATTTGCTTCTTCTTTCTTGCTTTCTTGTTTTTTTTTTAAATATCTTTATCGGTTTGACGTGAACTGTAAGATTTGATTGACTTCAACTTTAAAAATTTATTTTCGCCAACAATTTTTATATAAACAATAAAAAGAAGATACATCTAATACAGTAAAATAAATTGGCGTAAAATATTTTTTTTTTAAATTTCACTAAAAATAACGAAAATTCATTTAAAAAACATTTTTGAAAAGTCAAAGCTAACAAGCCTTATATTTTTCAAAAACTTATTTTTCACAACAAATATGAACATGATATCAATATGAAATAAAAGATATTTTTCAACCATTCCATTATTTTCATTAAAAAAAATATATGAAAACCCAAATAGAAAACAAAAAAAAATAAAGTGTCAACAAAATGTGTGGGTTGTTGTAGAAAGCACCTTTTTGTGGCGTAAGATCTCAAGTTACACTCTATGGGAAGAAAAGTTTGATACAATGTTGTGGTTTGTTTATTTCTCCCTCATTATGCTGGGTTTGCATTGCAATGTAGTTGTTGGGTTTGAGCTAGTGGGTTTGATTCTATTGGTTTGTTAAGACTTTGTGGACATTCTACGCATTACTGGATATAGTCTATTTGATTATGTAAAATTTCTTATGATTTGTAATTACTCTTGATTGATGTGACAAAAAGTAATAAATAATAATAATCAATATATAATAATAATCAATAATAAGAGAATAAATAAATGTGCGTACAATGTAATTCTGAGAATTCCTTGCAATTTATTTATCTTGATTTTTACTTCATTTTTTATATATTCTTTTTGAAATTTCTGTTTACAAATTTTGCTACAATTATTTGTCATTATCACCAAGAAAGTAGGGTACTTCAATTTATTTGTCATCACATCCACAAGAAATTAAGAAAGAAAGTCCAAAGATAATAAAGAGAAGTGTACAAATGTAGAGCAACCACTCCTTCCTGACCCTTTTTCTTATCCCTTCTCACTAGCTGCTTTGTATTATTGCTGTCATATATGTATACATAAAATGTCATGTTTACAAACAACCTATTGATTGCTTTCCAATTGAACACAAACTTGGCTTCAAAAATGTCAAACTTGCTTTGCTTGCTTTTGATTTTCCTGCTTGTTATTGCTTGCTCAAACCTTGTACTCTGTCACTCTGTGGTTGAGTCTCTTCCTGGATTTGAAGGACCCCTTCCCTTTGAACTCGAAACCGGGTGGGTGGGTCAACTCAGTATACTTCATTCATAGTCTTAGATTGTTCATTAATGTTTTGCATGTGTATGCATGTGTGTAATCAGGTATGTGGGTGTGGATGAAGCTGAGGATGTACAACTTTTTTACTACTTTGTTAAGTCTGAGTCCAACCCCAAAGAAGACCCTCTGGTCCTTTGGTTGACAGGAGGCCCAGGCTGCTCTGGCTTCTCTGCTTTCATTTATGAATTAGGTAAATCTTTCATCTCCATGCTCACTTTCTCTCTCATCAAATTCTTCTATTTCCCCTCCCAAAACAGTAGTGATTGAATTGTGCATTCAAATTCTCAGATAGTTCACTGACCCCTTAAGTTTGGTTATGAACAAAAGACTGGATCTTCTATTCTCAAATATTTGTTTATGTCTCTCCTATGTTTCACGAATCATGTGAAAACTTTGAAATGTAGCATAATTAAAATATTTTGGGATAATGATAGTAGAATTTGGGTATATAAATTAGGAGGCTGCTCCTCTTCTATACACTTTGGAGATATTTTAGACTGATCTGATAATCGTAACTTATTTAATTTATCGCGTTTATCAAAAAATAAAAATAATAATGTATGACAATTGTATTTTTAAAAATAAATATATATATATTTTCTTTGGTGATAAACGTGACAAATTCAAGAGGTCAGATCTATCTAATTTTTTGTATAAATGAAATATACTAAATACCTGACAAAATAAATCATATGAATCATCGAAAAGGACCTTGTGAGTGGAGGGAAGCCGCCTCCTACAAATTATTCTGTCTACTTTGTTTTTGAAAGTCTTGGTGCTGGTTGTCAGACGGCCAAAGCTATAGTTCGTTTGGACCAATCTCATTTTTAAGGGAACAAAAATATATTAGAAAGAAAAATGATCCGGACCCCTCTCCTCCCACCTCCACGATCCTTTCTGGCTGTGATTGGCCAGTTTTCTTTTTCTTTTTTTTCTTTTCCTCCAATCATTAACCCCCACATGTGTGTGGTGATGGTGGGAGTGGTGATTGAAGGGAATCTCAATCACTTTTGTTATTAGAAATACTAGGGGTGAGCGCGGATCGATAATACACATCCCTTTTATATGAAATTATGAAAGGGGAATTCTCTATGAAATTATGAATGCAATTATCTTTTAAAAAATAACTCTCGATAGAGTATTAGATATTTTTATAATAAAGAACAATAGTTGGGATGCTGAAAAACAAGTTATGAAGGTCTTTTTGAATAAGGATCCACTCTTTGATTTCTCTCCTTACCCCCCTTCTTGTTGGGTCATTGGGTTCACTTTTAAGCCCAATTTCAATGATTCGAACCGTTCACATTTTAAGATTTGTTAAGTATATCATATTTGTAAAAAATCAAATTGATCGGATATCAGGTAGAATGTGTTCAGAAAGCTGTTTATTAAATTTAAAAAAAAATTAATTTTTAGTTTGATGATCCGAACACATAGTTATTGATATCCGATCAACTTGATTTTTTACAGATATGATATACTCAACAAATCTTAAAATGTGAACGGTTCGAATAATTGAAATTGGACCCAAAAGTGGGCCTAATGACCCAACAAGTAAGAAGTCAAGGAGAGAGCGTAAGGAGAGGATTCTGATTCGGTCTTTTTATGGAGAAAACAATATCCAAAATGAATAAGGAATATGATTTGTAAAAATCAGAGCTGTCACTAAGGGATTGATTGCCTAGCGGTCCCTTCTTGTTGGGTCATTGGGTTCACTTTTAAGCCCAATTTCAATGATTCGAATCGTTTACATTTTAAGATTTGTTAAGTATATCATACTTGTAAAAAATTAAATTAATCGGATATCAGGTAGAATGTGTTCAGAAAACTGTTTATTAAATTTTTAAAAAAATAATTTTTAGTTTGATGATCCGAACACATAGTTATTGATATCCGATCAACTTGATTTTTTACAGATATGATATACTTAACAAATCTTAAAATGTGAACGGTTCGAATAATTGAAATTGGACCCAAAAGTGGGCCTAATGACCCAACAAGTAAGAAGTCAAGGAGAGAGCGTAAGGAGAGGATTCTGATTCGGTCTTTTTATGGAGAAAACAATATCCAAAATGAATAAGGAATATGATTTGTAAAAATCAGAGCTGTCACTAAGGGATTGATTGCCTAGCGGTTGCTAGCTACTATTCCAAAATTAATTTGAAGCGATCGCTTATTGATCCATCTTTTAGTGATCGCTTGCTATTGCACAAAGTGTGATCGATGGCTAAGCAATCGTTTATTGATTGTTAGCCACTGCTAAACGTGTGATAGATTGCTCCAAATTGTGATCGATCGCTGCACTTTAGTAGGGCCAATGTTGCACAAGTTTTCAAAATAGGATTTTGTATTTGATTCGAACTCTTTTTTTGAAAAACATTTTTAAAAAACATTTAAAACATACATGCAATCCTTACCCAAGTGAATAATGGAGCAAATATTTCAATTTCGATGTGTGGGATTGACTGAGTGTGCCAAATTTTCAAAATACCCTCACACAATAAAACTATGCCATTATAATCTGATTTCTATTTTTTTTTTATATTAAATATAAAATATTTGAATTGGGAACCGGGGCCTGGCCATCCTTCGTTTCTGGTCGACATTCCGACAAAGTTTTTCCGTTGACATCTGAATATTTCAATCCGGTTCGATTCATGGTCTCATCTGCATCTTTGGTAGAGCTTATTCATGATATCGTGCCATACCCGATAAACGAACAAATAAGGGGCAATTTGAGAAGTTGGTAAAAATTGGCTTTTTACCAACTTCTTCCAAAAAAATCATAAAAAAGTTATTAAAAAAAGTTAAAAAGTCAAAAAATTAATTTTTTACCAACTTTTCAAAACACTCCTAAGTGGTCTTTCCAGAAATGTTAAACAGAAGGTTTTAATTGATTTGAATTGGTGATTATTGAGGATGTATATTGGCTTAACTAATTTGCAGGTCCACTAAATTTTGAGGTCAAGCAGAATGATGGGAGTTTGCCAACTTTAGTCTTGAATCCAAACTCATGGTCAAAGGTATATTGAATACAAGGGTGAGCCTATTATTATCATACTCGTTTTATTTACTATTAAAAACGATTATATATAAACTATCTGAAGCATTAAAATGTTATATGTTGCCTTGACGGCAACCAGATTTTGTCTAATAATTGGCCACTTGGAATGAAAGGTTTACTTTTCCATCTATTTATTATTTATTTTTAAAGTCAAACAAGAAGAAATAATATAATTACAAATTTTTAAACCAAACCAAACTAAGCCTTAAGTCCTATCAAATGAGCCCGGTTACATGAATCCTTCTTCTCCACGCGGCCCTATCAAAGGCCATTTTGTTAGTCAAATTAAGTAGACCCATGTCTCTATTTACAACGCTAATCAACGTTAATTTAGGCCTACCCCGTCCCCTAACACTTCCATCTACCGTTACAATATCACATCTCTTCACTACTGCATCTGTTGGTCTCCGTTGAATATGACCAAACCATTTCAATCGATTCTCTTTCAGCTTATCTTCTATCGGTGCTACTCCTACCCATTCCCGAATACACTGATTCCTAATTATGTCTTGTTTAGTCTTGCCACACATCCACCTTAGCATTTTCATCTCAGCCACACTCATTTTATCTACATATTGTTTCTTTATTGCCTAATACTGCGTCCCATACAACATCGTTGGTTTAATAGCCGTTCTATAGAACTTACCTTTAAGTCTAGTGGGTATTCGTTTATCGCACAATACCCCAGACGTACTTCTCTACTTACACCATCCCACCTTAATCCTATGGGTCACATCCGCATCAATCTCCCCCACTATTGTGATAATCGACCCTAAATAACGAAAATGTTCACTCTTAGGTAGTTCTTGATTCTCACTCTTTACTTCTCCTCCGCTTTCATTGTTACTGTTACTAAATTTACATTCCATGTACTCTGTCTTAGTTCTACTTATTTGAAATCCTTTAGATTCAAGAGCTTTTCTCCAAATCTCTAACTTTGTATTAACTCATTCTCTAGTCTTATCCACTAGCACTATATCGTCTACAAAAAGTATACACCATGGCACATCATCCTAGATATTTTTCGTCAACTTATCCATAACTAAAGCAAAAAGATAAGGACTTAAGATAGATCCTTCGTGTAACCCTACAGCGATAGAAAATTCATTTGGCTCTCTAGCAGGCGATCTAATAGTGGTCACCGCCCCTTCATACATGTCCCTTTCTTTGCTAGCACCCACCATATTATATTCCGAGGCACTCTATCATTTCCCACACTTTCATAATATGACACATTAGCTTGATTCCTCTATGGTTGTTGCAATTCTAGACATCTCCTTTATTCTTATAGATTGGCACTAAAATACTCTTCCTCCACTCATTTGGTATGTTCCTAGTCAACAAAATTTTGCTAAACAACCTAGTCAACCAAGCAACCATTTTTTTACCTAAACACTTCCAAGCTTTAATAGGAATATCATCTGTTCCTAAAGCCTTATTTGATTTCATCTTCTTAAGTGCAATCTCCACTTCCAAATTCTTAATCCTACGATAGAACCTATTGTCTCGGTTTATCGTATTACTAGCTATTTCTTCTCTTATTGTCGTACCTCCATGCTCCTCATTTAATAGTTTCTCAAAATAGTTCTTTCATCTTTCCTTAATCTCTTCATCCCTCACCAAAACCTTAGAATCCTCACTTTTGATGCACTTAACTTGATTAAAATCTCTTGTTTTCCTCTCCTCCCGTATCTTAGCAAGTTTGTATACCCTCTTCTCTCCCTCCTTACTATCTAGTCTAGTGTATAGATCATCATAAGCTTTCAACTTAGCCTCTCTCATTACTTTCTTGACCTCCTTATTAGCCAATCTATAGCTCTTAAGGTTTTCCTCAGTTCTATTATTTTGTCACTTTTTGAAGCACTCTTTTTTTACCTTAATTACCGCTTGAACCTCTTCTCTCCACCACCAAGTTTTCTTAGAGTTGGGTCGCGTTCCTTTCGACTCTCCAAGCACTTCCCTTGAGATTCTCCTCATACAATTAGCCATCGAGTTCCACATAGTATTAGCATTATCTTCCAAGGCCCAAGTGCCTTCCTTGTCCATTCTATTCTTAAATATTTCTAATTTATCCCCTTTTAGGTCCCATCATCCTTCCTAGCTTGGTATTACCCTCTAAAACATAAATCTAGTACCAAAATCCTATGTTGAGAGGTCAGGCTCTTTCTAGGAATCACCTTACAATCATTACATTTTAGGCAGTCCACTTTTCTCACAATTGGCCATCGAATCCCCTTTTAGGTCAAGCACTTTTCTCACTAAATCTATTTGGCTCTTAACTGACCCACTCTTAAAGGTTATCAAATGTTCATTCCTCTTCTTATACATAGTATTGGCTACTACTAGGTCAAAAGCCAACGCAAAATCTAGATACTCTCTCCAACCTCATTTCTGTCACCAAAACCGTATTCATCATGCACCCTTTCATAGCCTAGTTTATTTATGCCTACATGGATATTAAAATCTCCACCCATAACCAGGTTTTCTCCTATGTGTATCTCCTGTAAGATCTCATCCATTTGCTCCAAAAAATCCCTCTTAGTTTGATCATCTAATCCTACTTGAGGGGCGTATGCACTAATAATGTTTACTATATTCCCTCTAATAACTAGTTTAACTGACATAATCCTATCCCCTTTTCTAATGACCGCCACTATATTCTCCACAAGACCCTTGGCGATTAAGATTCCTACTCCATTCCTGCATCTATCCTTACCACTATAATGCAGTTTTAAAACTGGTATCCTCAATTTCCCTATCCTTTTCACCCGTCCACTTAGTTTCTTGCACGCAAGCTATACTAACTCTCTTCCTAATCACAACATCTACCAACTCCATCGTCTTACCATTTGAGATTCCTATATTCCAAGTGGCTACCCTAAACCTATAGTCTTGGACTAGTTTCTTTACCCGCGCTTGTCTAGAAAAATGCAAGAACCTTTGCCCATTTTTCACCGCACCCAGGCGTCGATGCGGCGCCCCTTACTCACTTTTTGAAACACCCAGAAGTAGGCGTAACGTGTCACTTGAGGGTGATGACCTAGCATTTAAACTATTCAAAGTAGGATTCATTGTCATAAGGGAACCAAGCTACTTTTTTATGTGTTGGTTGTCAGCTACCTAACACACAACCTTCCCTCCCACCTTTGGGTATGACCACCATTATTACCCCCTTCCAATTGAGATCATCATAGACTTGCAACAAAACCTCATTCTATAATTTTGACCAAAATAACACAAATAAAATGTCCCACAAAAACTCACAAGGTAACAGAACTTGCAAACTTACAAAGAATAACAAAGTCAATACATCTAACATTATCCTAATAGACGTTTATTTGTTTATTAATCACAAATATCTACATATATACTAAGAAAGCGTATATGTATATATATATACATATATATTATATCTGAAAAGGACCTAAGATATTCAAGGCAACAACTATTTTTTTTACTCTTATTGCCCACAAATTGAATACTGCAGCAATCTTCCATTGCCAGTGAAAAATAAATAAATAAAAATAAAATTTTGTGTTTGGTTTGCCTTTAGAATCATGATTCCAGAGACAAAATTTTCAAATCACTTTTCAAAATTCATAACCAAACACACAACTCAAAACTGAATTCAAAACTCTTTTGATGATATAGTGTTGAAGATGGTTAGTGATGTGATTGTTAAATTATTTTTATAAAAAAAATCTAAAAAAAATAATTTCTATATTTAAAAAATATCTAAAACAAATATGTCAAGAGAGTTGGGAAGGAAAGAAAAGATTTCTTCACTGTATTCATCTCATAAGTAGGAAGCCTATTTATACATCAATTACATGTAAAATCAAAAATAGAAAATAAGGACGCAATATCCCACAGATAATGCTCTATCACACTTATTATGTTCTATCGCAACTATATAATATTTAATATTTAATATATCAACACTCCCCCTCAAGCTAGAGAGTAGATGCCAATCATTCCCAGCTTGTCTCATATAGAGTCAATGGCACCTTTGGAAAGTGCTTTGGTAAAGGTATCTGCAAGTTAACACCTTGAAGGAATAAAAGGAATGGAGATTTCTTTGAACAGTACTTTGGCTTGCACGAAGTGAGAATCAACTTCAATGTGTTTGGTTCTCTCGTGAAAGACGGGATTGCTAGCAATATGAATGGTAGCTTGATTGTCACAATAGAGAGGAGTTGGGGCTTCTGTAGAAAAACCAAACTCTCGTAAAAGAGTCCTCAACTATGTGATTTCACTATACATCTCTGGATCATCAATAAGATCACCTATGTCGGGTAATAATTTCAAGTTCACATCCATGGGAGTAAAAACCGGTTTGGAGCCAAGATAACCTATTTCTTTCAAAATATCAATAGTATATTTCCTTTGAGATAAACTAATACCCACTTTTGACTTAGCTACCTCAATACCAAGGAAATAACAAAGCTAACCCAAATCCTTAGTAAGAAAACTTGAGCCAAGATGATGAATAAGAGTCTGGATACCTTTCTTGTCACTCCTTGTGATGACAATATCATCAACATGAAAACTAATATAATAATGTCAATGCTTGTCCTTTTAAAGAAGATCGAGTGATCTGCTTGGCTATAGGTCATGCCATGTGTGACGACCGCCTTACGGAATTTGTCAAACCACGCCCGCGGAGACTGTTTTAGGCCATAAATAGATTTTCTGAGATGACAAACACACTCCCCCTGGGACTCAAACCTTGGTGTAGACACCTCATTTTTGACCGCCTTTAAGACTTGGACGCGACTGATGGTTTTGAAAGATGTGCAAGGGAAAGGTTCAGTTCCTTCGGCAAGGAGAGAGTCAAAGCTCAACTTCATACCCCTTTTTTGGACCAAAAAAATCTTGATCAAAAGATTTTAGACCTTAAAACCCTCTCTTTCAAAACGTTTTTGAAATAAAGTTCCTCCGATGTTTTGACGCTCGCATTTTGGTAAAAGTTGCGCTTTTCGGTAAACCGATCAAAGACAAAGTGGAAATGAATGAAAGAGAGATGAAATCTTTGAAAAATCTATCAAAATACCTTACTTAGGAGTTTGAAGTTGAAGAAAAGAGGAGAAGAGGGAACAAATCCAGTTGGGGGAGAAAATGGGCATGAACCGTTAAGAAAGAGTCGAACAGCCCTCGCCGAATCGGGCCTATTCATTGGCATACTTGGAATCAAGCTAGGAGGC